AGATCTAGATGCGCTCTACACGTTTTGGAGAGTCGTCTAGCTTCGGCACAGCAATCTCGGTCCATTCTCGCATCGTGGATTGAGGGCGCGTGTGACACATCCGCGGCGTAGGTACAGACCACGGTGCTTCGGCCTCCAAGCGCGCTACTCCGCTCATGCTGCCGCTGCTACGCCGCGTGGTTAGAGTCATTCGCCGCCATCGCGCCCGACTTGGTGGTCGTCCCGCTGCCGTGTAGCTGGTGGCCGCGTTTTACTTCACCTCTGCAGGTTTCTGCGTGAAAGCCAGATCACTTAGGACGAGCGAACATTCAATCCGACTTTCCATTTCTCAGTGGATTCGCTGCGATTCGGCTCCCACTCTTGGTTGCTGTGCCTCCCCGGCGCAGAACAGGTCGGTCTTAAGAGCGGCTCTCTCATCGCTCAATACCTCGTGTCACCCCCCGTCCTCTGACGGACAACGGCACGTGTCCCGTACCTTCATCTCCTACCACTCCTCTTTTCCCGTTCAACGACGTCCACCCCAGCCTTCCCTAAGTCGTGCGTCGACGACCACTGAAGGACGGTTTATAAAGTCTGTGTAACAGGAACAGGAAGGGGGATGAAAGGGAGTATGCCATCAAGAGTGTTCGACCAGCAGACTATCTCGAAGGAGTTGTGGCAACTCTATATCTCTATCACGCGCACGCTGCGATGAATGGTCTCGGATTGCTTTACGGCGCTTTTGTCACTCCTGACTAAGCCGACAGCACTCGCTTGTATCTCAAATCGCTTTGCGGCGCTTTAGCCACACCTGATTAAACCCATGTATGTAAGCTTTCCGATTGCTCTACGACGCTATAGTCATGTAGTCAGTCTTGACTAAACGGAGATGTGTCGGCTCGGCTATACAGGACCACCAATCTGAACAGGATAGAGGAGACTACTGAGAGGACGTATCTCCTACGCATCCCCATCAGTCCGCAACAGTGGCTGACAGTCGGCAACGGTGACAACCACACTTCAGCCCTAGTGTTGGTGCGACAGTAGTGGCTGTCGGACCTCTGAGGTGGACAGAGCCACCCTGATTACAGTACTCCCACCCACACCGCTATCAAAAGTACCATTTGATTGCTAGAGCTGAATAGTTTGTTACACATCTCATCAGATCGCAGACTTTGAGACAGATGCATAGCAGTCTCTATCAATCATGTTTACACCTTCACTTTCGATCTCCACTCCCGACTGACACGAACAGTCGGTCAGTAGGCGAAGATCGCATGAACGCGTCAACGGTTCCCAAACGCCCCCGAAAATTGTGGGACCTAACCCTGGTTCAGCAATCCAGGAAAGCTCAAAGGACCTACGGATCGAGTTGAGCAGGCTGACCAAATGCGACTTGCGCAGGTGGCTCGGATCGGCGGCGCAAAATGGCTGGACATCGCGGCATGAAGGGAGTGGCATGTCTTGACCCTCTCGAGGAGGAGAATGATTGGTGGTCTGTGGAGGCTGCATTAATGCAGTTCATCTGTAAACGTGACTCATTTTAGAAGTGGCAGCGAGTCGGAGCGCCGCAAGAAAGCTGTGAGGGGCTTGGTATATGATTTGATGCGTTAGACGCAGGGATATCCGCATATCGGCGTCATTTGGGGCTACGAGCGTGCGTGTGTGGTGAGAGAGGCAGTGAAGAGATACCCAAGCTCGACGTGACGACACGGGGAGTGTGGGGGGGTGTAAAAAGAGGATTTGATAAAATGATGAAACTTCATAGCTCAAATGAGCACAAGTCAAGTTCGTGGGAGAACAGTGTTCGAGCACGTGTATACATATTTGCAATTTGTCTATTGGTGGTGCAGCGACGAAAACGAGACGACCTCAGCCTCGAGGTCCTCGAGGATAAGCAGCTGCGAGGCGAGGTGGTCACGAATGGTATTTATCTGCTGTTGTTGAGCATCCATCTGTCCCTCTAGCATCTGGATGCGCTCCTGGCCGTCTTCGATGCTCTGTCGAATTGCTGCGATGTTGGCACGCAGACGTTCGCCATGATTCGCCCTCGAATCACCTGCATTGTCTTGACGGAGTGACTCGGCCACTTTGGTGGTCTCATCGTCGTCGGCGGTGTTGAGATGGCCGCGAAGACTTATCGGCATCGCGTCGGCTACGTCTGCGGCTGGGACGGTTGCGACGATCGGCGCAAGCACAGCGAGCTTCGCAACGTCGGAGCGGCTGGGCTTGGGTCGGGAGGCAAGCACTGCGCTTGGCTCGTCGGGGAGGATGCCAGTAGACGATGGAGACGGGGATGGGGCGGGCGCGACGGGGCTGTCTTGTGCGGACACAGAGTCCACCTCCAAGCAATGGGTCAAGAATGTCGCCAAAGTCCTCCACTGCTCCTTGCTGCGTCCGTGCAGAGCGCGCGTGCCGTACGTGTGGGCTCGTCCTCCCTCTAGGGGCCGAAGTGTGATCATCAGGCTCTCCTCGGTGAAGCCATGGTTGGCCTCGCCGGTGACTGGTCGGCGGCGCGCACGAACGGATACCAACTTGCCTATCCACCCACGAGCTTTGAGCTCCGGAACGGGCACTGGTACGCTGATGCTCTTCAGCTCCGTCGGTAGAAGGTTCAGGCGCCTCGCGACGGCAATTAGGGTGTCGGAGTTGTTCGTTACAAACAGCTGGCCGGTCCGGGCCGTGTACTGTTGTTAGAAAGAGCAGCAGAACAGCAGCTGTTAGCTCACAGTTTTCCCGCCGGGGCTGATGAGTTCGTGGAAGATAGCTGAGTCTTGGTCCTAAATGTTAGTGAGCCAATCAAAGTGGGTTCGAGTATGGCGTTCTCACCTGCTTCGACTTGAAGTTCAGCTGGGTACTGTTGCTGCTCTCTGGCTTCTCCATACATGCCTTCCTGCCTGCCATCAACGTGCTCGAGGCCATCCTGCGTGGGATTCGGCTCACTGGTCGAGTCACGTCGGTTTCGCTCTTCAATTGTGAGGTGCTGGGTTTGGCCGAGTTGAGGAGGTTGCCAGCAGCCTGCTGCTTGTCCTGCGCCGTTGCCAATGTGGCCGCGGAGGCTCCTTCAGATGCGGGCTCGGCGATCTGTGTCCCAGCACCGTCGGCGAGGTCGTCCTCGTCAGGGGGAGATGCAAAAGCATCGAGTGTAGGAGCAGACGGTAGTTCGAGGAGGTTGCCAGCGACCTGCTGCTTGCCCGGCGCCGTTGTCAATGTGACCGCGGAGTCTCCTTCAGATGCGGGCTCGGCGATCTGTGTCCCAGCACCGTCGGCGAGGTCGTCCTCGGCAGGGGGAGATGCAGAAGCATCGAGTGTAGGAGCCGATGGTAGTTCGAGGAGGTTGCCAGCATCCTGCTGCTTGTCCTGCGCCGTTGCCAATGTGACCGCGGAGGCTCCTTCAGCTGCGGGCTCGGCGATCCGTGTCCTAGCACCGTCGGCGAGGCCGTCCTCGGCAGGGGGAGATGCAGAAGCCTCGAGTGTAGGAGCAGATGGTAGTTTGGGTTCTTCAACAGGGAGGTGCGATGGGGGATGAGGGCGGTCCGTCGTGTTCTCGTGGACGGTTGCGGTCGTTTCGAACGGTAAGACGGCCTCCGAGGTCAGAGGTTGAGGCGGGGCGGGGGCTCGGGGAGCCGGCGAAGGCAATGACCGCTCTTGATCGGACCAATGGACACGACGGCCATCGTTGGGGCCGCTTCCTCGAGAGAGGCAGCTGCGCAACGACGACGAGCTTGCTCGAGATGTTGTAGATGCAGCGCTCTCCGGACGGGTAGAGCTGACGCTGGCGGGCCGGCTGGATCCAGGAGTTCTGGGTCGACTGAGGGCGTCCAATATCGACCGGTTGAGGTCGTCGTGCCACTTGTAGGGGAATGGCCGAGAGGCGCGCGACAAACTCCTCGACTGATCAGAGTTCGTGGACTCAGCAAAGGCGTTTGCTGTAGAGTGTCGAGAGCCCTGACGGAATGAGGCTTTATTGTACGGTCGTCTTGCCCGGGGGCGGGTTGCGTAGGCCGCAGGTTGAGGCGCCTGTCGAGGATTATTGTGCTCCGATTGGGGCGAGAGCGAAGTTTTGTCACGATTTCTCTTTTGTCCGGCAACTGACGCTCCTGATTGAGGCTCTGCCATCGCGTACTCTCATAAGCCCTGGGTCTTTGTCTGTCAGCAAAGGTCTCGATGTCGACAGCTGGAGGAGCAGACCGCGAGTGAGCGTACCATCGCTCGACGCCTCTGAACATGTCAAGCTTTCTATGGTCCCTCCTAAAGGAGAGCATCACTCACGAGGAAGGTTGTGTAAAGGTGAGTGGCTGTATGAAGGAGAGAAGTTCGAGATGGGGAGGTCAAGCTGACGACACCCCCGCAGCGAGTAGCGGGAGCATTCGCCAGGCCAGCACGCGGCGCGGGCGCACAGGTCGCTGGTAGGAAGGAGGGGCGCAGGTCGCAGCACGCAAAGAGAGTCGGCTGCCCGTCTGCCTGTGTGTGCTGGCCGCTCTCCTCGCCGGCGTAGGCTTGTTTGCATGGTCTAGGCCAAGGGAGATAAACGTGTGGACCAGACGCCACTGCTGGGTCCAATGCTCGGACGGTCCGCCTGCAATATGGGGCCCCACTATTCGTCCCTGAGATGGAGTGTCATCGTTACGATTGCAGAACTTTCCGACCGCGTTCTGCACACTGCCACTAAAAACGGCGTACAAGCAGGTGCATATGGGGAAGTCCATGACATTCACGAGTAGCTGGATGCATGCAGTACCAAGTCCCAAGTGCTCCAGCTGCTTGACGAATTCCTTGCTTCCGACTTGCAGGGCCTCTAGGACACTCCGCCTCCACCCTGACGCAGCAATCTCCCTGGTCCAATGACGCCCCTCCGGCTCCTGTGCGCCCTGCGCCCTTCACCAAGTCAACGAGGAGCACATGGAAGCACAACCGATCGCATGCTCGTGCAAGGAGCTGCTGGCTGCACCTGGCGCCTGACGACGGTGCACAGCTGGGGAGCGACGTGAGATCCCAAGAACGCACTACGGGCAATGAGGCGCGTCTAGCGGCCCCGATATAGCGAGCGAGTTCGGCCTCACCCAGAGTGCAGAGCCCGCAGCCCGCAATGTCGTCGCGTCTGCGATTTGCGACGCAGTGCCCTCCATCGTACGCCTTCTCCGTGTAGGTGCCGCCCCCAGGCCTCGTACGCAGTCCCAGTGTCTTTCATGGCTTTAGGTAACATTGCTAGGCGGGCGGGCGCTGGGCGCGCTGGGTGGGTCCTCAGACGTCCGCGGGACGCAGCCGAGCTGAGCCTGTCGTCTCGTTTCTCGTTTCTCATGCTCGCCCTCCTCCACTTTTTTTCCTCTTCTCCTCCTTCTCGTCCTCGGTCTCGTTCTCGCTCTCGTTCGCCTGCAACTTCAAGCTCTCGTTCTCCTCCTTCACGTTCTCCTACTTTCCTGGCTTTGGCCACCCTGGCTCGCAAGGATGCTGACCTCCACCTCCTTATTTACGCCGCGACTAATGAGCCAGTCTCGCTTCAAGACGTTCGATCGGTATAACCTTGTTGCGCGACTCCTTCTCAAACCTCGCCACTTTGATCTCGAGCTGCTTGAGGTGCCAAGCGTCCGGCAGGTAAGAGGCGGCAGACTGAGCTGTTCATGCCAGATGACGTCATCGCTGGTGGCTCGATGCCGTCTAGGTCGTCGCGAGCAATGCCACGAAGCGTCCCACGATCCCACGCGCCTCATCGCGGAACACGTCCCAAAAGGCCACAACGAGGCCTTCGCTGCTCCTGCTCAAGTATCTGTAGTTGAGAGGTCATAATGCATGAAATGTGACTACGACGAAGACGTCTGACACTGCCAGGCGCCGCCGCGTGCTGGGCGCGTTGACTGACGCTATGTATGAAAACTCGGCGCTGTTGCTGAAACAGATAACGTCCATATCTGACGAAAAAGGCCGGCTTGCTAGTGTTTAAATGTTGCCGCAAGTGACTGTACAGTTTTGCCGACTTGAAGAGGTTCACTTGAGGTCTCCAGGTCGATCAGATTGGGGTTGAGGTTGGCAGAGTCGACAGGACGAGCGTTCGTGGGCGAGAAGGCCTGAACAGCGGCACAACGAGCTCTCGCGATGGGAGGAGATGTGAAAGGTGTGTTTTGAGCAGCGGTGATGTTCATGTCTTGCGTTATGAGAGTGAGGCAGACGCACAGCGCTCGCTACTTGAAGGACGACGTCTTGGCGAGGTTGGCTCTTCTGCAATTCGGATGTGGAGACCACGGCGTGGAGCTTCCCGGGCTCAAACACTGACCTCTCGTCCAGTGGTTTCTCTCGCTCATTGGTGAGCTGCACCACGACCCGAGCCGGCCCAGCGGAGGTGACGTACGCACTGTACGTACCTCATCTTGGAACGCTCGATTCCGTCGCGAACGACGCGATCAATGATCTTCTTCGCTTGCGATATTCGGCACAGGCCCTCACTTTCTTCATTCACGAGAAACTAACGTTAGAACAGAAAGACCGCTGGCCCTCAGACCAGCATGCTCCTCGCATGAGGGAGAGGAATATTTGTAGCTCAAGGTTCTCGGCCTCCTACGCAAGATGCTGGCGGTCAGCGAGCCCTTACAGAGTGATCTTCGTTATGGCTCTCCTTACCTTCTCGTTACGCTCTACAATCTTCAACGTTCGTCTCAAAAGGAGCGTCGGCTTGCGCTGCTGTCGCTGCGCGCCGAGCTCCGGGTGGTGGCCTGCGAGAGGGCCGAGGTCGTACGTCCGTCGCCCGCTCTTCTGCGTGGCGGCTCCTTGAAGAGAGGGTGGCGCCGCGCCGCGCCCGGTGCCAAAGGCCCTGTCAGTGATCGAATGTTTGCAGGAGATCTCGACGTCGATGAACCGTCGGCAGGCTGGAGAGGCTGCTTCGGGCTTGCCGGCTTGGCCGAGATCACATCGACGGGGCGGCGGTAACGCGCTTGGCCGGTGGATGGCGGGGGAAGACCCCTCTGTCCCTTGGCTGACGCATTCCGCACAGCTCTTGCGTCTGGCGCCTAAGAGTTAGCAGAATCCGACCAAGGACTCTCAAGGTAGACATGCGAATCAAGCAGAACTCACCACGTTCGTCTTTGGGGGCGGGGCCTTAGCGCCGCTGTGCTTGGGCGGGGACAGCTCTGGTCCGGGGGGGCGCTTACGGAGCGCGGGGTCTTGGCTCTCCGGTTGGGGGACCGAAGAGGTTGCTTCTGTGCTCGTGGTGTCCATGGTTGGGTGGAGGAAGGTTAAGGAGAAAACGCGTAACGATGATCTTGGTCGAGCGTTGAACTGACGATACCTGAGCGGCGAGCGGCGGGAGCATTCGCCAGGCAAGCATGCATGTTGCACAGAGACGCTGGTACGTTGGACGCTAGTGAATGAAAGGGAGGGGCGCAGGGCCGCAGGGCGCAGGGCGCAGCAGACAAGTGGTTAGTGGTCACCTCCCCCCGTGTGCTGGGCGAACTGGCCAACGTGCTCGCCAGTGTTGTGATGGTCTGGCCACCAGACGGCCAGAGACGCCACTTGATGCCGCGTAGCTGCGCCCGTCCACTGATGCGGTGAGGGTCTACCCCACGCTTCGTGTTCGCAGCGAGTCAGTCGGCGAGGCTCTCTTTCTACCCAGAAGGGCGAGTGATATCTACCGTTGCGCATGCATAGGTCCAAAGCGCTCACGGTGACGATGCCCATGTGCAGAATGCAGCACCGGGGAAGTCTTGATACACCTTGACCCTGACAGACTTGCCGATCGCCCCTGGCGGCTGCCGCGTCTCCACTGACCTTCTCTCGCATATCTATGGTCTCCCACGGTGACACCGTTCCCTGGAGCGTCCCCAAGTGTTCGGACCCGACACGGAGGTAAACAAACAACCTGAGCACAGCGACCGTGGGAACTCATGAGGTCCTTCTCTCGATAGGGATCGTGGGAAAGTTATTCTCCGCCCTAACTGCGGCAGCGGCTCGCCTCCACGTCGCGACACGCCGACTTTTGGATGGCACTCAGTGGTCAATAGCGACACCTCAGCGTCTCACCTTCTTGCATCGCCTTGTCTGGTCTTCATATACCGCCCACTTCCTCGACTACCACCCCTACTTCGATACCACAATGGACGCTGTCGGATACGTCGCCACCGCCCAGGAGCACCTCCGCTCCCTCAAGAACACGCGTCTTGCCGCCCTCCGTCCGCCCGGAGAGTTCTTCGACTGGCAGCGCGTCTCCAAGCCCGCCAACTCGGGCGAGTTCATGAAGCGTGCGGGCTACAACATGTGAGTCGCGTGCACGCAGTATGCGAGATCAAGGCGCGACACATGGGGCATTTGTGACGAGAGAAGCGTGGATGAGCTCGGTTCGGCCTATTCCAGTCCGGAATCCGAAAATCACTTCACAAGGCATTCATGCGACTCTCGTACCGCGTAAAGTCGCGCGCGTCTATCGTCTGCCCTGCCTCTGCAGATTTAGCCTTCGAGGTCGCAGTAAACGCTGACAGCCCAGCCGCTACTTCTCGGCCAACTACGCCGTCCTCGTTGGCCTTCTTGCCGTTTACTCGCTTATCACGAACCCGCTCCTCCTCATCGCGATGGCGTTCCTCGTCGGCGGATTCCTGGCCATCAGCCGGTACTGTGAGTAGTCTGGGCTGGCGGAGCGAAATCAAGAAGACCAGAAGCTCGGAGGTGTGCGGTAGCTGACTCCAGTCACCGAGCCATTCGAGTTCCAAGGCAAGACGATCACGCCGCAGAACATGTACACGGGCCTGTTCGTCATCGGTGAGTAAGGAGGCTATGCGCGTGCGACAGCGTGCATCTGTGCAGGTTCAGCTGCTCGCGAGCAGATGTCGAGAAGTCTAAGCTGCTCGCGAGCAGGTGTCGAGCAGGCTAAGCTGCTCGCGAGCAGGTCGAGCGGGCTCAGCTGCCAATAAGCCGTGCAGGCTGGGATGCTGGCGAGCAGGCCGTGCAGGCTGGGATGCTGGCGAGCAGGCCGTGCAGGCCCAGCTGTCCGCGGGCAGGCTGTGAAGGCTCAGCTGTTGGCGAGCAGGCCGTGCAGGTTCAATCTGCCAACACTTCCGAGTCAAGCTGACGGCCAGGCATCCCTCTTCTCTGGCTCTCGGCGCCATTCTCGACCTTCTTCTGGCTCGTCGGCTCATCAAGCTGTCTAATTGGCGCGCATGCCGGATTCCTCGAGCCCGGTGTTGAGTCGTGAGTCGTATGATCGCTCGAGCTGAACTGACAATCAGGGAGTACGAGGGTGTTGAGACTGTATAAACCGGAATCAGCCGGTGAAGATGTCGGCAAGCGTGAGCTTGCAGCTATAGATATATGTACTGTGGACATTTCATGCAGGAGATGACCGTGCCCGAGAGAGGACCTGCAGCAATGCACGGAGTGCATATCACGGAGTGGACATGGAGGCTTGGCGGGACGGAGAAACTGGATGATTGGCTGGGCATGGTGCTGCTTATCTCTGGGCCCTGCTGTTCCGGGAGGTGTTGGAACACGGCTGGGCGTCCCTGTGTCCCTGGCCAGTGGTGGACGGTTATGATGTCAGTCAGGAGACCACACCAACAACCCACCCTCCTTCCGTTTAATCCGAGTGCTATTCCGGCCACCTTCCCCACCCGCAAGCTCCGGCCTGACGCGAGTCCAGCCCATCCATCCTGTCCATCTCGTCCTGGGAGCGGTGAATAACCCCTCCCTTGACCCCTTCATTCTTGGCAATCCTTTCTCATCATCTCTTTCTCATCCACGACATCAACCGAGACAACAGCAATGGCCCAGGTTTGCGACTTCCAGAACAAGCTCAACACCGGTAACGGCGACGCCGCTGCTGCTGCCCACACCCACGATGGCAGCGGCGCGTCTCACTCGCACTCGCACGACGCAGCTGCTGAGCACGGCCACACCCACGAGCACCTCGAGAATGCCGGTGAGTTGGTAGCTGGCCACCTGTCGCTCTGCTGGATGCTGACGCTGTGCCCTCCGACCGTTTCATCGAGGATTGCTCTTGCTGCATTACCATGAAACGAAACCGTGACTGGAACCGTTCGCCACGACACCCCTCACTCGCTCGCTCTGATCGCCCATTCGATCGCAGGCAAGTACGCCGAGCGCGACATGCCCGACTACTCTGGCCGCGACTGGAAGGAGCGCACCTTCACCGTGGGCATTGGCGGTCCCGTCGGATCGGGCAAGACGGCGCTGTTGCTTGCGCTGTGTCGTGCGCTCCGTGATGATTACAACATCGGTGCGTCTTCGTACTGAGTTTTTCCCTTTGACCTGCAATCACATCATATCCTTATCAGAGGGCTCATGCCGCTCCTGTGCGGCGTTCTTGGCACGCGGCGCGCTGGCCAACCAGGCTGAGACAGGCCGGGCTCCTTCCCTCCAATGAGCTCCGATCGAGATGAGCTCGGGGTTGTCTGGCGGCTTGACCATCTCGGATGCAGTAGGGAGTGTGCTGACATCCTAGCTGCCGTCACCAACGACATCTTCACGCGCGAGGACCAGGAGTTCCTGATCCGCAATGAGGCTCTTCCGAAGGAACGCATTCGCGCTATCGAGACGGGTGAGTGAGCCGACCGCTGGGCGCACGAGCATCAGTATTGTGCAGTGAGGACCACAAGCAGCGAGACGGCGGCGAGCCGTGCAGCTGGGAGGAGGAGGGCAGGACGGATGGAGCAGGCTGGAGGGCGTAAGACGAAGCAGCGGAGTGTCGTCTGCTTCTGAGCGCCGCGGCAACCGCGATTGACTCTCACACGGCGCCTTGCGTCCTCCTGCCCACTTGAACTTGTCCCGTGGCTCCCCTGCATCAGCTGCTGCTGCCATTCGGCCTGCGTACGCTGGGCCTCCCCAGGCAGGATCATCATACCTGCAGGTGGGCTTGAAGTATTCAGCTAACCTCCAGGCGGCTGTCCGCACGCGGCCATCCGCGAGGACATCTCGGCCAACATGCACGCGCTTGAGGAGCTTCAGGCCGAGTTTGACACTGAGCTCCTCTTCGTCGAGTCTGGTGGCGACAACCTTGCGGCGAACTACTCGCGCGAGCTGGCTGATTACATCATCTATGTGGTAAGTCGACCCATGCGCGGCAGCCTCCAATACTGCGCGACGCTGGAAGGCGGAGGCGAGGGAAGCGCTAACGTCCAGATCGACGTCGCAGGCGGTGACAAGGTCCCTCGTAAGGGCGGACCTGGTATCTCTCAGTCGGACCTGTTCATCATCAACAAGGTGGGTGGTTGTGGGTCGAAAGGCAGTCTGCAGAGACTGCATCGACCACAGCTCGATATGTCCTGCCATCTAGCTGACTCGCAGACCGACCTCGCGCCGCACGTTGGTGCCTCGCTCGATGTCATGCGCCGCGACTCGGCTATCATGCGCGAGAAGGGCCCGACGCTCTTCACGAGCGTGCGCAAGGGCGAGGGCGTGCAGGACGTCGTTGACGCTATCCTCGGCGCATGGGCTGCCTCTGGCGCCAAGGGCAAGAACACGCCGAAGCAGAAGTAACTCTTGAATTGCAGCGTGCCGAGGCACCACAGAAGCAGCGCCGGGCGGAAGAGTGAGGCTACTGGGATTAACGAGTCGAGGCAAGAAGCACCCCATGTATCTTTGGTAGTTGATGAGTCAGAGTCGATGCATTGTTATCTCTGGCACGCACGAAGGGTTACACAGATCGATGCATGTCACAGTGACAAAGAAGCAAAGAGTGAGGCTGAGGGTGAGGCGCGGAGGAAACAATGTAGACTTAGAGGCGCGCACAGCCGCCCAACGCCCCAGCGACGGCGCCTCCCAGGATCCTGGTCTCAAGCCGGTCGGGGCCATCAAGCATCCATCTCCCACTCTCCGTACTCCAACCATTCATTTCGCCTTCGAATCTTACTCTTGCTTGCAGGGTGCGCAGTGCTGCGAAGACAGCGACAGCATCCATCACAACGATTTCAACGAACTCTCACCACGAACCTAAAACCAGGCGCGTAATAAAGGGGACCAGACAAGCTCCCACCGTACCGCCGGTTCTACCCTTCGCCCCCCTTCCCTACCCTCCGGCCATCTCTGGATTCCGCGTCCGTCGACCAGACCCTGTCTCCATTCTATCGGTCAGCAACAGCTCAAGACAACAACACACCCACCCACACTACCTCCTCCTCATACTGAGCACACTCTGCGAGCGAGACACGACCCCGCAAAGTGCACACGTCGAGAGCGTGTCATTTCTTCTTTCCGCGCACCCCGTTGCCACCCGTCCGGCCTTGTCCGGTTATCACGCCTCCCTCTCGATTAACAAGAGTTAACGCGAGATCCATAAGAGTAAGCATGATCGCTCTGACTCTGCTGACTTGCCAGCATGGACGCGTCAGGTAGCTCCAGCTCAGGGAGCGGGGGCCTCGTCTGGACGCGCGACGGCCCGGTCCTCAGGATGGAGGACGCGGTCGTCGAGACGGTGTAAGTGGACCTCCACTGGTACCGCTGACCTTAGTGTAACACACACGACGCGCACGACAACCTCTTTCGCTCCGATAGCTCTCCCGCGCATCCCCGTTCCTGATGCTGTGCCGATGCCCTACTATCTCTCCAACGAGAGCTACCCCCTCGCCCACGAGCCAACACCGGAAGATCTGCGCTTTCTCGAGTTCAATCTTGGTGGACGCCGTGTCGTGGTCGCCGAGGATGGCGCTGAGGGAACCTCCGGCGAGACGACTGGCCCTGGCTGGCGTCGAACAGTTGCGACGGGCAACGACGAGCGCGTCGGCCTTGGCAACTACATCAACAGGATCAAGAAGGACAAGGACAAGGAGCAGAAGGAGCGCAAGCGGCCGCACGTCCAGGACGCACGCTCGCACTCTCCCTTACCTCAGCCCGTGGTCCGACAGCGCTCGCCGCCGCGCAAGAAGGCACGCCCGAGCGATATCTACACGACTGCCGCCGGCGAGGACCAGAGCCTGATCCCGTCACCACTGCAGTCGCCAACCGACAGCGGGCACGCCCCTGCGCAGCCTTCGCTCGGCTCGGGCCAAGAAATGGCCGCGCTCTTTTCGCTGCCGGCCATTGTGAACCACTTTGACCAGCTGCCCGACAAGGTGCAGCAGCACGTCTTGATGCACCTGTTCCGCCGGTCGCGCATGCCGACGATCCAGCGCGTGTCGTCGTTTGCGGCGACGGCTCTGAAACGCGACTTCATCTCCCTACTCCCGCAGGAGATTGCAGTGCAGGTGCTGTGCAAGGTCGACGTGAACAGCCTGGCATCTGCTGCGCGCGTCAGTCGATCATGGCGCAAGCTTGTCGACGGTGAGCGCTCCGTCTGGCGCACCCGTCTCATGGAGGACGGTTTGTGGAGCGGACATGGCGTGGAGGAAGAGGAAGAGAAGGAGCTCTTGAGGAGATACGAGGTGCTCGACCGGGAAGCGCGGCGGCGTCACAAGTCTAAAGCCGGCACGCCGAGCGATGACGAGCCTATGCAAGGCGCAAACGCGATTGGCGATCACCCCACACCCTACAAGCACATCTACCGACGGCGCTACACCAACAACCAAACATGGCTGAATGCCAAGCCAGAGCACTTCTCCTTCCCTGGGCACGGGACGCACGTCGTTACGTGCTTGCAGTTTGACGAGGACAAGATTGTGTCTGCTTCCGACGACCACTCGATCAACATCTACAGCACACAGACGGGGCAGCTTCGCAAGCGGCTTGACGGGCACGAAGGCGGCGTCTGGGCCCTTGAGTACAAGGGCGACACGCTCGTGACGGGTGCGACGGACCGGACGGTGCGCGTGTGGGACCTCGAGACGCTGCGGCAGACGCATCTCTTCGTCGGGCACACGTCTACGGTGCGGTGCCTGCAAATTGTCGAGCCGGTCCTTGACGAGGCAACGGGCGAGTACCAGCCTCCGTACCCCATGATCGTGACAGGATCGCGCGACACGTCGCTCCGCGTCTGGAAGCTGCCGAAGAAGGGTGAGCCGGCCTTCGAGGGTCTCAGCCCTACTGCTGCGGGACTGAACGGCGGCGCAGGCGACGTCCACGCCCCGCCCGAAGAGAACCCCTTCCATGTCCACCACCTCGAGGGTCACACCGAGGCTGTCCGCGCCGTTGCAGCTCACGGACGCATCTGCATTTCGGGAAGCTACGACAAGAATGTTCGCGTCTGGGACATCGTCAAGGGGCAGTGCATCCACGTCCTGCAGGGCCATGAGAGCAAGGTGTACTCGATCGTGTACGACCGGTTCCGCAACCGCTGCGTATCTGGGTCCATGGACTACGCCGTCAAGATCTGGGATCTGGCCTCTGGCGAGTGTCTGCACACTCTGTCTGGCCACACGGCGCTGGTCGGACTGCTCGGTGCCTCGCCGAACTACTACGTATCTGCTGCGGCTGATGCGTCTCTGCGCGTGTGGGACGCCAACACCGCCGAGCTCAAGCACGTCCTCTCCAGCCATGCGGCAGCGATCACCTGTTTCCAGCACGACGAGACCAAGGTCGTGTCCGGTAGTGACGGAACGCTGAAGCTGTGGGACATCAAGACCGGCCGGTACGTGCGAGACCTGATCATCGGCATTTCGGCGGTATGGCAAGTCGCCTTCCACGGGGACCGGCTCGTCGTCGCCTCGCAGCGCGCAGGCAGCACAGCCTTCGACGTCTTCTACTTCGGGCGGGGCGTGGACCCCGTCGACGACCCGAAGCTGGAGCGCGAGTGCCGCCCGTCCTGGGAGCGTGGGGACCCGAGGGAACCCCAGACGTACCAGTACGACGTGCCCGACACTGAGGGCGACTACATCGACCGCTACAGGGCCTTAAGCGTCAAGGCGCGCTCGAGCCAGATCGAAGAGGTCATGGACGAGGACGAGCATGCGTCGCTCGAATTCCTCGAGGACGAGATGGACGAGGATTAGGAGTTCTCAGTGCGCGCGAGGCAAGCGGTCAGGCCACCGGGCCGGAACCGCGAGGCGAACTCTGAGCCAGCGCAGCGAGCTTACATGGCGAGAGACGGGGCTAGCCGCGAGCGCGTGGAGCGCCCGTCGGCGCGGGCGGGAAGAGGGGAGGCGAGCGTGTCGCAGACCGAGCGAGCGGGGCACTGGGGAGGCGCCGTGTGCCGAATGTTTAAGAGGAAAGGGGAATAGTGACTCTGCCTCGCTATCTACATGGCTGACAGCTCAAGGCAGCAGCCTCAGGCGAACGTGTGTGCAAGCGTCACATCAGCCATACGCGGACCGACTCGAGCTCGAGCCCGAGCAGCGCCACCGCCAACACGCGGCGAGCATCTCGCCTCTCCACCCCCCTCCAACCTCAGACGAATTGCGTAGTTTTGTACCATCAGGCAAGTCATATGCTCCAGCTTTTCAAGTCTCATGATGTAAATTGTACATGTCCATTGGCCACGGGCGCTACATGCAGCCCTTCGACAGCGCAACCAAGAGGGCTTAGTGGTGGATAGACCGGTCAAACTTGTCGCTCGCGGGCGAACGGGGCGAGAAGGGGTTGGAGGAGATACGTGCGTGGGGAGCGTTATTCTGGGGGGGCATGCGTCAGCGGGAAAGAAGCCGGGGACGTACTGAGCGGCGTCGTGAGGAGGATTGGGGGGGTGGAGTAGGTGCTTGGCGTGCTTCGGGTGTGGTTGTTCTGCTGTTGGCGCTGCGAGCGGAGCGGAGCAAAGCGGAGCGAGCAAAGGCAACAGAGCGCGCGGAGCGAGCCAGAATGCTGTCGCAACAATGATGCCGCGAAGCGAAGCGACTCGGGAGCACGAGAGCAAAGTGCCGCAGGAGCGGAGAAGAATTGGGAAGGTAAAACAATGGAGGAGAGCAGGGAGGGATCACTTACAGGAAAGCCGAATCCGAAATCGTCAAAGTCGTCCATACCCCTCCGCCCCTTGCCGTCCTGGTACGAGTCCCAGGTAACCAGCGCAAGGAAGCCGAGAATGAACAGTCCGACAAGGGAACAGATGATGATGCCTGCGATTTGGATGCCGGAGAGACCTAGCGCGGGGTCGTGGTAGTTTGGGTGGACGCGGGCGGGGATGATGGTTGCCGCAGGGGTGGTGGCGGGGTCTAGCGGGTGCGGGTCTGGATGCGGGTTCGGGAAGGCTAGTGGTGATGCGAGGGTTAGGGTGAGGAAGAGGAGGAAGAGGAGGACGTCGACGAGCGTGCTGTTCATGATGCCAAGGAAGCTGGAGGCGAGAGTCGAGGTTGAGATGAGATGAGGAGAAGAAGAGGGGACGGGGAGAGCTCCTGCCTGACAAAGGCGTCAGCAGAGCAGAGGGGGCGGGACAGAGACTGGAGCGGGAGGTCGTGAACGCGGAGGTGTCGTGAACAGGTAACAGGGAGAACGGGGCCGTTTTCGAATAGAACAAGGTCGACTCGGGAGGAGTAAAAGAAGCAGCGATGAGCGGGTGTGAGAAGGGGATGGAGAGAAAGTCAGTGGATAGACAGACGTGGGTCTGTGAGTGTTCCCGGAGCGAGCGAAGACGAGGACAGACGAGCATCGGCACAAGTCGCGGTCTGAGCGCACCGGTCTCTGTTGGCCAGGACGAGATCCTTGGGCTGATGTCGGCGTCTACGGGCTGCATGGCTTGCAGCCATCATCAACCCTGCCCTTGCGACTTCTGCAGACGCTCTCTTGACGCTTCACGGCGTGCAGTGGTTTTAAGGGTGAGAGCATCTCGCGCGGGAGCCTCATACCTTGACCCATCGCATCACACTCTCGTGAGAAGTTGAGGACAGAAGAAAGGCAAGGTTGATCAAACTGGGCAGACAGGGACGAATGGTCCGAGAGTCGCCGAGGACGCCACCGCCCGGCGCCACTTTGCCTCTCCCTTGGCCGCTGTCACTCATCACTGGATTAGCACTCGGGGGAGACCCTTTCTGTCGGCGTTCCTTCATCTTCACAGTGTCTGGGACTGGCAGAGTTCAGTTTGCCCCGTAAACAGAAAAAGCAGGGAGCGCTCGGATCACCGAGCCAGCGGCCTCCACAAGCCCATCATTTCTCCCACTCACAGTGCGGACTCAAGCCGGACGAGAAGATGCATAACATAAACATTTCGGGTTCGTTATCGAGACATGATGCGACCAAACTTCTGATCGCCTTGCGGTACGTTGTAGATTGACAGAGCTGAAAGGCGGGCGAGCGTGAATGAGAGATTAATGGTGTGGTTGGGTTAAACAGAAGGAGCAGATGGGCTATCTGCGCTGCGATCGTCACTCAGAAGTCACTATGACTCCGTCGAGCCATAGTTCTTGTGCCCACTCGACGCTTGCGCAGAGTACGGCGGCGGCGGGGCGTCACCACTGCCGCTCTCTCCGTGGTCTGCGCCGTGCAGGTTTGGGGCGGGGTGAGGTTGGGGCTGAACGTTCCCGGGTATCGGTTGGTAGACCTGTTCGTCAGCTACTCACTCAATCGCGCTCAGCTGAAGCCGTCCTTCATTCGCGTCTTCATCTCCGAGGCTGTCTGCTGAGCTGCACATTACGCAGCACGCTTGACATCATGCCATTGACGCCAGGCGCCGAACGCGATCATGCGACTGGACGCCGTAACGCCTTCACTACGACCTCTTCACTTGCGCCCATCCGTCACCGCAAACGAGCCCTCTCCTCCTCATCCTCGCTTCTTTCAGACAAGCCCTCGATGCGTTCGGCCTCAGACATGTTAGACTCACCCTGTAAACCACCCTCTCCTCAGGCCCATTCCTGCACCCAATCATACAGGCCAGCAAGCAAATGCCCGCCAGCTTGAGGAACACGAGGAGCATCGTGATAGCCAGGAAGGAGAAGACAAACACGAGAATGAAGCGCGCAATCGGGTCCAGGTCAACATCGGGATAGTCGGGGTAGTCGTCGTGCTTGCCCAGAGCGCCGAGGGAGCGCAGCCCGATGTGCCCGGGGTGGATGACTGGGGCCATGGCTAACCGAGCTCTGCGGATTGGGAGATGGTGAAGAAAGGATAGATCAATGAGGTGGAAGAGAAGCTCAAAGGAGAGATGGGAAGAGAAGGAAATCGTGTTGTGTTGAAGTGCGTGACGATAAGTGAGATGGGCAGGTAAGACACGTTCTGGGTGGCGACAAAAACGCAGTGACGAAATCGTTGATCTACCGGCTAGGCACGGTTCTTGGCGGGCCGCCCTCTATTCTTGTCCTTGAGAGCTCGAAACGACAGATGCATGCACATGCTTAGGGGACTACTTTGATCGTGTTGCACCATAGTCTTGCACTGGCGCTGGGTCCAATGCGTGATACCTGTTGTACTCGACTCGTGGGTCGCGGGCTTGGTACGGCGGCGGCGGGGGCGGCGAGCTGGCGCTGGGACTGGACCTCGGGGGCAGGCCAGGCGATGTTGCGTACTGCGGTCGCTGGGGGGCGTAGTATCCGTTGTGGGATGTCGAATTCGGCGGAGGAGGCGGAGCGTAGTGTTGCGCCGTGCACGCTCGCATTCGTCCCCAATGATCTTCATGGTAATGCTGAAAGTCAGCTCAACTCTGGGATCTGAAGAGCTCATTCTTCGATGGACTATCTCAAGTTCCCTCCCCTTCACTGAAGACACTGGAGGCTAAACTCACTACGTTTTCAGGCTCGCAGTCTGCGCCAGTCAACCAGCTCACAAACCGGAGCACCTGTCGCAGGGCGGCGAAGAAGGCGAGAGCGAAGGCGAAGAAGACCGCTGCGCGCAGAAAGAAGGCGAAGAAGAAGGCGATCTCATCCCCAATCGACGGCTGATGTGGGCGCGCCTCATCCCATCCCGGGGGCACTGCTTTGGAGAGGATTGAGGGTAGAGCGGGCATGGTGAATGTTGAGGAGAGAAGAGACGGAGGAAGGAGTGTCGATCACTTCAAGAAGGGCCGCGTCAGTGGCAAATCAGGCACGGCTCATCAGGGAACGTTCAAGCGATGCATGACCTTGGGACTGAGTGAAATGCGCTGTGGCCGTCAGACGCATAGCATCGATAGCATCGCTTATGGCTCTGAGCTACATGCTCTTGGCTCAGCGTGTTGCCCCATAATCCTGCATTGGCTTCGCCACTGGCGGATCGTAGGAGTCGTGGGCGTTGTATGGTGGCGGCGCGGGCTGGGGCATCACCAGCGGTCCCCGGCTTGATCTCGCCAGCGGCGGCGGACTGGGCGGAGGAGCATGCATAGGCGGGCAAGGTTCGGACTGCTGCACAAGCGGAGCGCGCTCCGTGCTCTCCTCTTGTGGATAGTGCCGTGCTGTGCAAGCTCTCATGTGGCCCCAGCTGTCTTCGTGGTAGTGCTGGACGTCAGCGCCGCCCCGTGTTTCCTTGTCCACCCCTTGGACGCCCACCGGCTCATAAGGGCACTCACGTAGTCTGCGAGACCACAGTCTATGCCAGTCGCCGTCTCGAAGCCCCTCACGCCGATCCTCAGCAAGAGGTTCAGGACGAGAGCGATGACGCACAACCCTAGGAAGAAGCCAAAAACGGGGAGGAGGTCGTCAATCGATGGGGTGGCTGATGGCTTCTTTGGATGGGAGCCATTCCAGTCGGGGGGAAGGGTGATCTCTGAGGCCATGGAAGCCAGAGTCGGCTTGGAGCGCTACTGCCTGGTCGAGAAGAGGACGCCGACCGCCTTAAGAAGGGCGGGCGAGGGTGGCAAACTGACAGGCACATGACACAGCCAGGCTATGCATCGGAGAGCTTAGGTTACAACATTGAAGGCACTTGCAGGTACGTGAATGGGATGCCCAGAGGAGTCGGGCTTGGCTCCCCGTGATGTGGTCCGATATTCAGTGAAGAGCTTGTCGCTGTTCGCTGGGCTCAGAGCTTCATACAGGTTGAAAGGTCCTGGAGCGGCAGAAGAGGTGGCACAGATGACACGAGCGTTTTGATGTCAACGAGCGAGGCCCGGGGCTCGCTGGACGGAAGGCATACACCGTATCCCTTCTCAGCGTCCGCGTAGCAGCTCGGCGCCATGCATGCCCGCACTCGACCCCACTCGTCCTCATGGCAATGCTGCCTTTAGCGAACTCTCCTCCCTCACCGTTCTCTGTACTCACGACATCCTCCACCGCACGTTCACCCCATAGCAGCCTTTTGATCCTCATGGCGCCCCTTGAGACGAGGACAACCACAAGTACTAAGCCTAGGTTAAGAGTGAAGAACAGTACTGCCCTGGCAACGAGCATGAGCAAGAGTGATGATGTTGATGGCTTCGAACGCCGATAAGGGAGTGCTGCAAATAAGAGGGTCATGACGATGCATGATGAGCAGACGGTGAGCCGCTCAGCTTAAACGATGGCCAAAGACGAAGAGGACGTTATCTCGTCGGGAGCAAGGCACGGGCGGTTCGGGTATGCGATGCGTTGAAAGGGGATGATACATTCGACAGATTGCGGTACTCGACAGTGGTCGCGGGCATGGTTCGGATCGCCGAGGCAGTCCACAGCCACCATCAGAGGCGACACTGACAGCCATGCTCTGCAGTATGTGGCTAGGCTACGAGATGCGTGGACACGAGCACCTCTCCGTGGTGCGCGTGGCACCGTAGTGTCTCGAGCTCTGAGCAGGATCGAGCCTAATCTGTCGCTCAAAGGCGCAGGAGATGTCTCGTGCTGCATACGGCGGCGGTGCTTGCTCTGTGTTGAGCCCTGCCTCGCGAGGCGCCACAGCATCCCTCGTTGTTCTTTGCTGCCGCCCCAGCATTCGCGGGTGGGAGGCGTAGATAGCGTGTACCCTCCTCACTCTGGTGACTGGCAAGCTCCGAAAGTTTACGGCAGATTCGGAGGACGGGGATGTTGCGGACTTGGAACGGCGAACGAGTAGGAGGAAACAGTACAGGAGTGCAAGGAGGAGGAGGGTGATTGTTAGGAGGCTCACGCTGACTTCGAGAGGTGAACGTGGGGGAACGGGGTCGTAGTTATGCGAGACGCGGATGGGCAACATACTGTAACGGCGATGTGTTGATGGGCAAAACGTTGAGTCGGAGGGCGCTTATGACTTTGTTACGGAGGGGGTCGAGAGGCGAGGACAGGTACACAGGGGTACTGGTTTAGGCTCTTTGCAATTCAGTAAACCTTGCAGAGATGTCGGAGCCAAGGCCACTTCCGTGTTCCTGTTGGTGCAAGAGAGACGGCTGTGGCGGAGGTGCGACCAAAGGACTTCTTAGTTCTTCGGCTGTCGTACAGGGGAGTGCGAGAGAACAACAGACTTCTCGCTGTCTACCTCTGTCTACCTGGATCCGATGGAGCCGTAGGTCAGCACTCTCGCCCCGGCACCGAGGGGAGCCCTCTCCTCGTCAGAAGACCAGCCGTCGCTTGAGTAAGGTGGTAGCGGTCTGGGAAGACTTCTCTGGGAGTGTTGATGTTTGGCCATCCTTTGCTCCGCCATCCTTTGCCGCCTCCTGCGCCACCGTCTGCGTCGTCGCTCAGCGAAGGTCTCGCTGACCCCGTCTTCGTTCGTGTACTGCTGTTAGAATGAGCACGATCGCCGGCCAGACTCACTGAGGAAGTGGGACCAGTAGACGGCGGACTGACTCCGATGATGCACACGACTAGGGCAGCCAGGAGTGCCAATGGCGTCAGATTCACGATCACCTCGAGGACGAAAAGAGCCCCATGAGCAAGGAAGCCGAGGGTCTGTATGCCCTCCGCAATGTCAGGCGGGGCTGGAGCTGAAGAGTTGAGAATAGCTACCATGCTGAGAGGCCGTTGGCTCGGAAAACTTGAAAACAAGCCTGTTCCCTGTATCTTAAGACTGAAGTCGGTGGCAACGAGGCAGACGTCGGCATTGGAGAGCGATGCATGGACAATACTGTACAAGGCGACGAGCACTATAGGACGCTCAACACAAACCCGGCGGTGAACAAAGCTAGACTGGAGAGTAGATTGGCGGTCCGGTCTTGCCTGGTACCCCGGCAGCTGGCGACGGGGGTGGAGGGTAGGCGGTGGTCGGCTGGGCAGTGTATGCGAACGTTGTGTTCGGATTGTACGGATCAGTCTGGGGATCCCGTCAGCCTTTGGTTCGCCATTGTCCCTCTCCTCTTTTCTTTCTCTTCGCTACCAAAGCACGCAACAGCTTTGAAAACCGGCACACTCACTGAATAGACGTTCTGCTGCAGGGGAGGCGGTGGGCGATACTGCTGGAACTGCTCTGCCATCTTGTTGGCGAGGTATGCGCTGCGGATGCACGTGCCGATGATGCTGAGGATGATGAAGGAGCCAATGACGGAGACGACGACGACCCAAGCCGTCTGTCCAGCCGTCCACTCCCACTCGGCCCGGGCTAGGGGCAAGATAGCGAGAGCTGTCGGGATCAAGACGGCGAACATGTCGATGTAAGGACGATTGTAACTTGTCAGGAAACCCAACAAAGACGGAGCACTTATCAACAATGGAGCGTCCAGTGGTCCTCTAAGATACTGCATGCTTCTCCCGGATCCGGACGAGGGCGGGAGAGGACACCAGAAGAAGGCTGCGAGCCCGTGCGCACAGTAGAGCCGTAGAGAGTAACGGAGCGGTGCAGATCCGGAAGTCGTGACGCTGCCACTCGGCACGCTCGGTAACGTCGGCGCCACCCAGCACCGCCGATAAGGACGAGGCGGTGCTGCGACTCACTTTCTGCCTGAATCCTCTCTGACACTCTCTTTCAGCCACCGCAGCTCTCGGCGGCGGCAGTGCTCCTGAGAGAGTATCTTGACTGATGTAGACCAAGGCACTCGCGGTGCCAAGCCAAAGTGCTCGGTCCGTGTGGACTGAACAGACCGCGAATGTTCTCTCGGCTGCCCGATTCACGGCCGCGACGGAGCAGCGCGGGGCGGCGGCAACGATGGCAGACCCTCTCCTATCACCATGCTTCTAGCTCTGGGAGGCATCGTACCCTCCACCGCTGCCGACGGGAGCTTAGCTCGGCCCAGTCCGCCTGGGGATACTCCATCGTCTCTGGCGCCATCCCACAGTAACTTTAGGCGCCGGCAGCGCCTAACCGTTCGCCCTCGGGCATGTGAAGGTTTCAGTCGCCTTTGGACTCGGTGTGTGTTACATACACTCTCCTCCAGAGGTGCAAGCCATGGGCGCGCCTGTACGGCGAGACATGCGAGGAACTCCAACTGCGCCCTGCTCGAAGCTGAAGAGATTGCAGATGAGTTCAACAGGCCCTTAGTGATGCACTTGGAAGGAATAATGTCAATGCATTGCAACTGAATATGTACAGGGAGAAACGAGCGTCGAGAAATGAGTCCATGCAGAATTGTCGCGGCGAGGCTGTAGATGCTGGTAATGATGGGGCATAGCATTTACGTTGCTGGGTGGAGGGCTGGGGGACGCCGACATTTGACGCTAGTCCTGCCAGGTTACAGACCGAAGCCATTCAGGCTCCAGTCGATGGGGTGGACGGGCTCGAGGTCGGTGAGCGAGTGGGTGCTGTCGTTGCTGCCGTTCTGGCAAATGGTGCTTGTGGAGCGACCACCCTGGCGCTGATTGCCCGTTGCCTGGGCGTAGCCGTTGGGGGCGTTCGCACACCTCGCATCGGCGGTTGCAGTGTCGTTCGCACGAGACACAGTCGATCCGGCAGTCTCGGCAGTGTCACCGCGGCGCTCACGCTCCTCGCGCTCCTCTCGCTCAATGCGGGCGCGCACATGAGGCGCCAGTTCGTCGCGGGGCGCCCAGCGGCGCTCGAATTCAGAGTCCTCCGAGCCACGGGGGAAGCGCGGCGACGGCTCCCAGTGGAAGGGCGAGTGGCGCCACCCTTCGGCGTTGGGCTCGCCTTGCTCCCAGTCCGGGCTCTCTTCGTCGATGATGGGGGTGTACGGGCGCTCGCGCTCGGTCCAGGAGCGCAACCACTCCCACAGGCTCAGGCACAGGGACTGGAGGCGCTCGGCGTAGGCGTGGCGGCGCGGGAGGTTGCCGTGTCGCAGGACGAGGGTCGTGCTCGCGTTGACCGAGGGGCGGCTCGCGAGCAGCGAGGTGGTCGAGTCGCCCATCATGGCGATGGGAAGGAGGGGCGAGGTTGTGCGGCGCAGGTAGAGGTAGGTCGTGTATCCTGCCAGAAGACCCAGGACGGGCAGCAGAGTCGAGATGTTCACGACGGAGCTGGCTGGAAGTGCGCGAGCGGTTGGGAGAGCAGCCTGGTCGGCCATACTGATGCTGTTAGTGAGTATGAAGTGTGAGAAAGACAGTAGGAGTCACATCATCCCCAAAACCTCGTGGGTGTGTTGCACGCTGGTGGACTTCGTAAGTGTGTTCGTACGAGGAGGGCGAGAGTGCGAGCGCAGCTGACGGACATGTGGACGAGACGGACACGATCAGTTTCCGTCACTGTCCGGCCACGGCTGGGGTGCGGAGCATCGAGCTTCCTGCCACTGTTTGCTCACTCTGGTGTTTAACAGGGCTCCTGAACTTATTCCCTACTCGCTTCGTGGTATGCTATGAGCAGCTTGAGTTCGTCAGTTCGTCAGTGGTCAGGCGCTTTAGTGGCGAGGGGCGCCTATATCGAAAACACCCAGAATCACCATTTCACTTCCCTTCTGCTTCTCCCACCCTCTCTTCGCAGATCCGATGACCGGCATCCCGGGTGTCCGGACTTGGCGGACTTGCGCCTCAAGTCCCGCCTACGTCGTCTCCTGCCTCCTCGTCTTGAAGCGTATTGCACAGAGATACGCCAGCGCCCATCCAAAGAGGCCGCCAACAACGGCTCCCATCCCAACGCCGTAACTCTGTAGACTGATGATGCACGATAGTAGTCGCGAAAGTGCTGCCGTCGAGGGCGAGCGCAGAGCGTTCCATTAGGACGTCAAGACGTTTGGCCCCTTCCCCATTACAAGTCGCCACACCGTCGCAGCACCGTCGCACCATAGCTCATTCATTGTCCGGGCACCATGGCTCCAAGCCAGAGTCTAGTCTTTACGCGTATCGCTTCCTCGACCCCCCGTATTGGCATTACAAAGTGTCCGTTCAAGCGTGCGAGCTGTTTATGTTCGTGTTGGCGTTCGAGTTCGCGTTCGGGCTCATCGGCGGCGCACCGCTCGGCTGTGGCGCCGGGATGGTCGGCGGAGCCGCCGTATGTCTGGCTCGTGGTGGTCGGCTAGACGCCATACGCCTGCAGCACAGCAGTCGGCGGGACGCCGTATGGCTGCACTCCCGTAGGCGCGACGGCCGCATTGTTCGGTGCAGCGTAGCACTGCTGATACGCATACCCGGGAGGAGCGGTGGGCAGCTTGCTCTCGCTGTCGACTGCGTACAGCTGGGGCTTCTACGCCTCGGTCACCTCGTACACTGGCTGCTGCACCTCGTACACGGGCTGCTGCACCTCGAGCATGGGCACGGGGCCCATGGCCCGCTCGCGCGCCCTCCGCCTGCGTCGCAGGAGCCAGATGATCAGACCTATCAGTACGCCCCAGAAGACGAGGTTGACGATCACAATCGCAACGATGACGCCCGCGGAAAGCGAGGTTGAGGATTACTAGTAGCCGTAGGTGTTATCTGCGCGGGCGGGCGGGGCTATGGCAAGCAGGGCGCCGAGGAGGGCGAGCGTGGATAAGGACATCGTGTCGAGGCTCGAGGCTGGGGGGCCGATGGGAGCTAGGGAGGAGAGTGGCGGTGCCGTAGCCTTGAGATGGAGCTGGCAGACGAGATTGGGATAGAGAGTGAAGCGGGTGAGAGCAGTCGGGGGCAAGTCAGGTGCGTTTAATATGCCTTGCAGACAGCGAGGGCAGGTCATGCGGCTCGGCCTCTGTTGCAATCTTTGCACCGTGCTTTCCTGAAAGTCCATCAGATGAGTTCCACATCCGGGCCTGAGCCGGTTTGTTGACCAAGGACGCGTCTCATAGAGCATGACCCGTTCCTCAGTGCTCGCAAGCATGTTCGCGTACCACTCGTCTCTTGTTCCATGCCTCCACTCGTCTCTTGTTCCATGCCTCTCCTTGCCCGAAGGTCGGTTCGTAGCTCGCCTGCCACTCCTCCAGTGAATGGAAGTGGGTCGGTTGGCCGGTGGCGGTGCCGAGATTGATAAGGCACGGTTGAACAGATAAGATCGCTGGCTGCCTCTACATTGCATTATTGGCGGGGACGGTGCAGATGACACATCCCAACTGGGCAAGGCGTCGCTTCAGCTCGCATCAGCTCGTTTTTGACCGTTTCTATCTCTCCTAGAGTTACGAACGAGCTGTGAACAATGCGCGCCAAGCAAACTGTTATTCACCATTGCCTGGACGCCAGAGGGAGCGGCAGCGATGGACATCGCCCATTGGAGCTGCCCCGACACAGCGGCGTTCACGTTCTGGCTGATGCTTCTTGGCACAGCGCTGATATAGCACAGCTTGGCTCGCAAGGAACAGCTGTGCTCCGCTAACGTGAGCAGCTCCGCGGGATATGGTTATGCATGCCACGCTTATGGCTGGGTTGGCACGAATCCGATTGTCGCGGAGCAGAGTAGCTTGGCCGACTGGTAGTGTCAACCGTGGGAAAGGTTGAAACTGCGAACTGGTAGTGTCAACCGTGGGAAAGGTTGAAACTGCGCAGCGCCTCCTCCGACGTCGCATTTTGGGTTGATGATAAGATTGACCGTGGGAAAGTTTGAAACTGTGAAGGACGTCCTCCGACCTCGCATTTTGGGTTGATTATAAGATTGACCGTGGGAAAGGTTGAAACTGCGAAAGGCGTCCTCCGACCTCGCATTTTGGGTTGATTATAAAAACGACCGTGCGAAATCAATTATAGAAACGACCGTGAGAAGGTTGACCATGTGGAGGGCGTCCTCCGACGCAGTTAGGGCCATGAAATATTTTCGCCCCCCACTTAAACGGGAGTTGATGCCACGTGATGCAAAGTGAGGCCACTCGAACGAAGCTCGGCCACTGATGCAAAACCCAAACACTATGTACTAATTGTCTCCACTGACAACGGCGCCTTAACGTTCCTATTCGGATGTGGCCAGATCGATCAAGCTTTGTGACCAGAGCCATTCGTTGTGGCCACTACGGGTGCATCCAGCAACCCTCCGCGGCAGTGTGTATACCTTCCTATCTGTCAAGGATAGATGACCCCTGTCGTTGAGAAACAACTGGCAGTCAATGCTTACTGACGGAGTAGTAGTTGGGAACAGATCCCTGCGGGATGTCAGAGCGGAGCTGTGGAGGGCGCATGCCGGCACCTAACTCTGCAGGGCACGACCTTAAGTCACAAAGGCTCAACGCATTCGCATTAAACCTAAACACGTCCGTTCGAGCAGTTTCATCATTCTTCTTCTCCATCCTCCCAACAACAACCACCTCCCAATCGCCTACTCTGTGACTGACCACCGCCCGCAATGCCTCGGACCCCCCGCAAGCCGAAGGCCGGCGTCCCCTCGTTCCGCAAACGGGGCAGCCGCGGCCGGCCACCCCGCACATTGAATCCAGTGACCACCCCTCCTCCCCAAGAAGAGAGCATCGACGCTCCCAACGACGATGTTGTCATGAAGGAAGATGACGGAGCCGATACAGATCTCACCCCTCTCAGTGACGACGCCCAAGACGACCGTGGCAAGCTAGGTGGGGAGTTGGCGGACAGTGACGACAGTGGGAACATCGACCTCAAAGGCCTGCTCTCCTCGGAGAGTGAGGGGGAGATTGCGGCCAAGCGCAGACGGGTTCTTGTGGCAGAGGCCATCTCCCCGACAACGACATACGCCACACCGAAAGCCCAGACATCCTCCAAGGGCAAACCGGCCAATGTCAGGAGAGCCAAGGGCTTCCTGAAGCCGATGCAGCCCCCCTTAGGTCCAGAGTATGAGCGACTGACGATGGATCTTGACAATGCGCCGTTCTTTGTTGATACCTCGGTAGGTGATCAAGAGCCACGGCCCCAGAGCTCACTTGGAAAGCCTTGGATCTGGAACGTCGGCCACGCCGCTTGCTCTGACCTCATCGAATTGAGATATCAGGATCAATCTGGGCTGGGACAAGGCAACATCACCAACAGACGTGGCAAGATGATCCCCAGAGTCGCCATCACAGACGAAAATCGGAATTCTATCGTGTACCGCTTGGAGCTTCTTTGTAACCAGCGATGTCGGCAGACTGAGAAGGGACAGAAGGCTACTGTTGTTCGTGCTCCTACCGAGCTGCGGTCCACCAGAAGGAGCCGACCCAAGGAGGGTAAAGCCGCGCAGGAGAAGAGATGCCAGGCCCGCCTCGTCGTACGTCCATCGGTACCCATCAGTCGTCGTCCCGAATTGACGCTCTGCAGTTCGAATGCACCTTAGATCATGTGCGAACAAAAGAGTGTGTGGTCTACCACCTCCCCGGCCCCGAACATCACCCCCTCCCAGGAAGAGGAGCGACGGATAGAATGTCAGGATGGATCAGAAGGGAGCTTCAGCACTTGGCGTCCACTTTCGGTGTCACGAAAATGCGTCTGCAGCAAGGTCAGTCTTTGGATATCGGGTGGTACGCTTGGTGCTCACATTTAAGCCTACGCAAATCTGAAGGCTAAGGATGGCTACATGAAAGCCCTGCTGGAACACCCGATTGGGCGAGAGCGAGCGCCGAGCAGCAGGAACTTCCAGATCATCATCAACTCTGTCCGGAGCAAGCAGCGAGTGCATCGCGACCCACTGGCAGCGATTGCCATTATGATCAAGAACGACCCCAGGCCCTTCTTCTAGTGAGTGATTAGACACTGCCTCTGCTGATCACAAGTTACAAGCTTCCTGAAAGCTTGAGGGTAAAGCCGGGGAAGCGCAAAGAGTTACGAGCCGACCAGATACTGGAGTGCGCCGTCGCAACGCCAGTAACACTCCAATTCGGACTGCTGTTCGGATTCAAGAATGGTCTTCACGTGGATACCAGCTGGCGCAACAAGACGCCTGACCGTTCTCCCGTGACCTTTGTGCTCACTGTTGATGATAGCGGCCACGGGCTACCGGTAGCCGCGTTCGTGTCGACACTGGCAGATGCCGCCACGTACGGTCGTCTGCTAGGCGCACTCCGGGAGGAACTGGAGAAGCATGCGGAGGAGCTGGTGAGTGGAGAGGTCCAATGTCAGATTCCCGCCCACCTCAAACCACGCCTCCAGGAGATTGCGGCCATTACTGAGGCGGACGGTTTCATCCCTCGTTTTGGGATGATGGACGGCTGTGACAAGATCCGCCTTGGCTGGGAGTTGGGATTCCCTGGGGTACCGAAACGCCTTTGTCAATATCATGTGATGAAGGCTGTCGACCGCAAGCTTGCCAGTGTGTACGGGCGGAGCGACGAGGGGTTAGTCTCGCAGGAGGCTGCCCGCCAGGCGTTCTACGCGTGCCAGCGTTGTGACGACAGTAGCGAATGGGCAAAGTACTATTCGAAGTTTGAGAAAACCATTCGAAGCATCACGAATGGGGATGGGTTCAATTCGGACGCCGCCTGGAAGCGCATGGACGAATATCTGCAGAACCAGTGGTTTCACAAGCGGTGGCGCCGGGCGTGTTGCGATTACGGCCTGCCGGACGGCACTGTGCGAGGCATGGCCAACGCCACCAATAACTATACAGAGCGCTCGTTCTGCACCTTCGACCGTGTCTTCTTGTGCGCGCGTAACAACAAAAGACTCGACCGCCTGCTCTTCATCATCGTCTACATTTTCTTCAGACATTACGAGGAGAACATCAATCTTGAACCTCGAATTGCTGCCGATATTATGAGGGCGTCCAACGACGGGTACGAATTGTGGGATATGGGCTTCGTTGCTCCAATCGCAGAGGCTCGCATTCCGCCGCAAGTCAAGGGCCAATTCGTCACACCGTATCAAGTTCGCAGCAAGGAAAACCCCGCGAAGATTGACGCAATTTGCGGAGTGTTACGATCCGGTTCACCGAGAAGGGGATCGTAAATCGGGGGCTCGGAACCTGATGGTCTCTTGGACGATGCAGGGACACAAGTGTCGGGCTTGGATGGATCTCCCTAGTCGAGGGCAAGCGAGACGGAGCGAAGGCGAAGTCGAGATACTATGGACGTGGTGTAAGTCGAGCAGCGGTTGTGGTAGCGAGCAAGTAAACTATCCACGCAAGCACACTTAGTACTTGCCGAGCAGATAATTTGATCCATGGTCCTTCTCAAGGCAGCGAGAAGGGCTTCTTATATATCTACAAAGCGGGTTCTTGACCCGTGGACAAAGGAGTGATGTTGCTGGCTGTCGCGGCCAGCCCTGCTGGCCGTGAGCAAGCACCGCTGGCCTCCAGCCAGCCTGTCAGCCAGTCTGCTGGCCGTGAGCCAGCGCATGAGCCAGTGTGCTGGCCGTAAGCCAGTGTGCTGGCCGTGAGCCAGTGTGTGAGCCAGCGGGCTGGCCGTGAGCCAGTGAGTGAGCCAGCGGGCTGGCCGTGAGCCAGCGAAGCTGGCCGCAGGCTCTTCGGTGTGCGGTCGCTGTCTAGCGTGGCCACATGCATTGATGCCATGTGTTACGAGGCGTCTGGGACGGGTCGTAACAGGCTTCTACCTTCTTCAGCGAGGCTGAACTCTCGTTCGACTTCCGGTTTGGCTCGTTCTTCCCCCACGGCAGGGCGCTCCTCAGTGGGAAGGCCCTTGACGAGACCCGCCTGAAGATGTTCGGCCCCCCGGTGGTGTCACTCTCGGTCTCCCCCGGCCCCGAAGGCGTATTCAAGGTTCCGTCCTCATTCGAGTCACCCATGACTCGCGCCCTGGCCGCCCCGATCACTTTTATGGGGGTTGACCCCATGCTCCAGGCAGTCCCAGCCCCTCTTATGGGAGACTACTTCGCCTTTCAATCTTCCCTGGGTTTCGACGCTCGTCGCAACGCTGCCGAGGGGGAAGACCCCCATACTCCGCCTTACAACCTCTCTTTTCGTGAGTTCGAGCGGCCCTTTTCTCATTCTATCGGAGTCCCCCACTGACTCTCGCAGAGAACCGCGGAGAAATCGTCTTCAGCCCTCAACATGCTTCCTTCCTCAAGTTGACTCCACCCCGCCCTCGTCCGTCGGAACTGCCTACCCCGAACGCCAAGCGCCCTTCTCGCGGCCACGGCTCCAAGGGGGACGGAGGAGGAGGCGGAGGTGGAGACGGCGGAGGTGGAGGCTCAAAGGGTGCTCCGCCTCCCCCCCTGACTCCTCCCGACTCCGCCCGTCGCCCCCACTTTAACAGCAGCTCTTCAGCACAGCAGTCTCCGACCACGCCCACTCGCCAGCCTCGTAACCGGCCCGGGCCTGCCGAGGAAGGCGGCCACCCCGAGCTCGACTCGTGCGACCTGCCGCAGCTCGACGAGGCTGCAACTTCCCGAGCCGGCTCTCCTTCTCCTCAAGAGAACCAAGACTCCCCCACCGCCCCCAAGGGCAATAAGGGCAACAAGAAGGTCACGCTGAAGGTCGTGGCTCGTGTCGTCAAGGGCGAAGCAGAGGACACTTCCGAGCCCAACCCTTTCCAGGCCGACGGACCTCAAGTTCCCCCTCCTCTGTTCCGATCCCTCCTCGGCTCCCGTTCCCCTTCGCCACCCTCGGACAATGACTCCTTCGGCAGCTCCCGTTCTCAGCACCTCGCCCGCGACTACACGCCAGGCGTTGACGTAGCCATTACCAGTGACGAACCTCTGGTCCCAGAGCCACAGGAAGTCGAGGAGATGGCCGTGGACTCCGAGGCCGCGTGTGAACCGATGGAAGGCATCGAGACCTCCGACCCCGAGGTTCACGTCGAGACCACCGCCTCTGCCAATGACGACGACCACTCCGGCGACGACCCCATGGTCGGTCGAGCTCTCGACAGCCCCCAGGTCTCGGCTCCTCCCTCTCCGGCCCCCCATGACTCCCAGGAGACCCCTCAGGTCCCCATCGAGGTAGAGCCTGTTCACCAGCCCGCCACTCAGCCTTCCGACGAGGAAGACCCCACCTGGCTCGAGAACATCTTTATGGAATCGCCTAACGGGGCTCGCTTCAAGCTACTTGCCGGTTTTGAATGTGACTGCTGCCTGGACAAGGTCCGCGACGTCCCTCCGCCTCAAGAGGGCCCCATCCCCGAGGGCGAGGTCTCCCCTGCCTCCCCTACGGTTTGTCACTTCCAAGTCTCGGACGACGGCGCGCTCTCTTCCTGCAAGCCCCAGCTGCAGGTAGCTAAGACCTCGCCTCAGGCTGTTACCGACTGCCGTCGTTGCTCGTTCCTGCACCCTTACCCTTCCGAGCTCACCCAACTCGCCGATTCCATTATCCACCGTCTCTGCAGCGGCTCCGGACCTTTCTCGGCCACCCTGATCAAGGACCTGAAGTTCCTCATTCTCGCGATCGCCCATCCCAACTGCGAGCGTCACTGGTCTGACCTCGCCGGCGGGCACACTCCAGACGACTTCAACTTGGTCACTGAGCCCGACCCAGACGCGCACCGCTGGTTACGCCCCTCCTCGCTCCCCGAGGTGCTTGGCTTAAAGATCGACTCCAACCGCTCCCAGTCTTCTACCACTGCTAGTAGCCGCTCCTCCTTGCGCTATCGCCCCGGCTCTTCCCAGTCTGTTGACCGACACTTGACGATGTGTGTCTTGGACCTTGAGGCTCCACCCTCCAACTTACTGGACAAGCACAAGACTGTTAAGACTCCCACCGACTTGGGCTTCGCCTTCGGGGGCCAGCCCGTGCGCGGTCCCCTGCTCACTCATGAAGGCCCCCCTTCTCACACCCGTCCGTCCGCCGAGATGAAGCTCGCCCATGTGCGCTCGGGTTGTGTCCTCTTCAGCGGTCCAATTCGCTGCCGCTGCTGCCGCCAGCGCGGGGCGTTCTGCGCCCACGTCGTCTCGAACCTGTTCGGGACCCCTGAACAGCGCAAGTCCACTCGCACCGGCAGGCCCTTCACAGCTTCCCTCCCCTGTGCCACCTGCCCTACGGGCGCCTCCTACGGCACCTGCGAGCACGCCTCCGGCTCCTCCGCCAGCGCCCGTCGCCTCCAATTCCTGACTCGTCTGGCAGCCCAAGTGTTAGTCGTGGCGGCATACCAGACTTGCCCGTCGGCCGACTTCCGCGCCAACCTGGTTGATTGGGTCGTCCTTCTTCGCGACTTCTCTTCTGGCCACCTCGCTGCGCACTTCAGGCGCTCGCCCAATGGCCACTTCCTGGGCCTCCCGCCTCCTCCTCCAGGCAGTCCGCCCCTCCTCCAGCGTGAGGTCTCGCTTTGGCCCCTTGCTCCCTGGCGCTCCCGCGAGTACAAGTTCCCCAGCCTCGAGTTCTTCGGGCCCTCCATCACGGCCACCCTGCACGAGTCGACCACGGGCCTTGTTCTCAACGAGAACGGCCAAGGGCCTTCTCGCGACTCTGTCGCTAGGACGCTCCCTTCGGGCCAGTGTCCTTCCCATCTCCGTTACCCGACCGACTTCGTCGAGCTGTTCTCCTCCAGCGAACTGCCCCCTTTGTAGTTCGTAGTTCCTGCCTGTTTCTAACCGTATTCGTTTTTATGAATAGTCGTACACTGTGCCTCCTCGCTTCCACGGGATCAAATTTGACTTTCATTCGTTCTTTCCTAACACTTCACTGATTTCCCTTCCGGCTACTTTCTCAGCTATCAAGTTCTATTACAACCATCTAGCCCCGAAAGTTCTGCCCGTAGGGGTATGGGTAAGAAGAGGTCCTGTGCTGGAATCCCGGGTTCCTAGGCCCCCAAGGGGTCGCAGCATGCGGGTTCCCGAGTGGTATCCAATGGCTGGATCCTCGGTGGGCGGGAGGGCCGCGCCTGGCCGGAAGTCGGGTCTCCATCAAGGCTCCTCTATTCTTCCCGCAGAATCCGCATCGGGGATCGTGTCGGCAACGTTGCTGCCTGACGGCCCCGTGCCCCCTAACTGCCAAGGTGCTCGCCCATCGATCCATCTGGGCTTTGGTGACTTTGGCGCATTCGTCGTAGAGTTCTCTCGCATCCCGGATCTTCTGGTTACTCCAGTCTTCACCCTGCACATTGCACGAGCGACTCAGGGTTCCAAGCTGCTCTGCCAGGCTCCTCATGGGTTGTTCGTGAATGCTAGGGTCTTCTTCGTGGTTCATTTCGAGTTCGAGGCGAATCCAGCTCACGAGGGGTTCTTTGTGGTGGAACATCGGGACCTCGTGAGTGTCGGACTTCTTCGATCGTCCTGCGAAGCGGATCCCAGGCTTGCCATCCCGGGTATGGAACTCGAATTGCTCACCCCAGATACTGTGAAGGAATCTCACAAAAGGGCAGGTCGAGACCCCCGCTCTGACGTCCCCTATGGCCCGAGGGTGTACCAGGTCGCAGAACTTGCATCGCTGACCCAGGCTCATGGCTCTGGCCTTCGACTTCATGTTCCCCAGTACCCTCTTAGTGGGATCGATTGTCGCCTCGGCTTTGTCGTTCTTCGAGTTCTTCTTTGCGTTCTTCTTGCTCTTCGGTCCGAGGTGTTTCCATTCTTGCTTCTTCGTCGTTGTCGAGTCTCCCATAGCCACGTCTTGGATGTACGGGTCGCTCCATTCGCTGCTGGTGATCATGTCGAGGAAGTTTCCTGTCATCTCCGCCACGTCGCTAGGGGTTTGTACCACCTGTTGAGGGGACAGAGAGTCACAGGTACTGATCACAGCCTGGTCGGGTTGGAGATTTTCGATCATCGAAGCCGGGCTTAAGGCTAGCTCCGGGTTCGGGCGAGGTTCGTTCAGGGTCATGGACTCTTGAACTACCTTGTCGGTCGAGCCATCGGACTCTCGCAGCGTCCCAGTCATGTCGTATGTCGTTTGTTTCCGTCCTGCCTTAGGGTGTCGTCCGCGTTGTTGCCCAGCCTCGCTTTCACTCGTTACCCTTTCTCTTTATCGGAGAGGGATAGGTGTATCCTTCTTCCAAGTAGATAGGGCTTCGAGGTACTTGTTATAGTGCTGGGGTGGGTCGAAGGGAGTCTGGGGATCCGTGGGGGACCCGTCGCTTCTTCCTAGTCTCGCTCTTTTATATCTTTTCCTACCTCCTGGCCTAGTTCCGTCCTCGGCCATCGCCTGATGCTCCTTTTCTCTCCCTTTGAGGTAATTTCAATAAGCTTCATCGCTTCTCACGCCTCCTGGCCCCGTGACCTCAGGCCTCCCAAACATCCAAGTGCGCGATGTCCTCAGCGCTCACGGAAGGTCTGGCAGATCGCTCGAGGGTAGCCAATCGGTAATAGTCGCGTCCGGTCGCCGCTGCCTCTCGCTGTTCCCTGCAGGAGGTGGGTACGTAACAGAGACGCGTTTCGCTCGTTCTTCTGGGGTCGCGAAACGGGTCCTATCCTCACGGTCCTGGAACCGCCTCAGACGGTTGTGACCCACATGCCGAAGGCCCCTATCCAGTACCATAGTGCCATCCAGTTCTTTGAGGTCCGCTGCTCCCATACGTGAGAGTTTTGCTATCCTGTACGGCCCTCGATAGCGGGGTTCCTTCTTCACCTTCATCGTGTTCTCCTGGGCAGCGTTGCGCACCAAAACCATGTCCCCGACCTTGAAGTCCCTATCGCGGAATTGCCTCGCATTCACCTCATTGTGGTGCCTGACTGACGCGTCGCGGCTTTCCTGTAGCTGATGCCTTGCTACGTGCCGGTCCTGTCCAACGTTCCACAGCTGAATCATCCGTTGCCGGAGGAGGTCAGCGGTAGTGCGAGTTTCATCCCATCCCTCGATCAGAAAGGTCTCAAATTCCATATCCACTGGGAAGACGGCATGCTGTCCGTAAAGGAGTTGGTACGGGCTGTACCCTGTTGACCTTCTCGCCGTGGTCCGATCTGCCCAAAGAGCGTAGGGCAGCCAGTCGACCCAGTCATCCCCTTCAGAGAGGGAGGCCTTGAACATGGCCTCTTTGAGCGCCGCATGTCCCCTTTCATTTGCTCCGTTCGCTGCCGGGTTGTAGGCGCTGATCGATACTTGTGGGATACCATAACGGACTAGTTGCTCATTGAACTCGCCCCGGAATTCGCCGCCGTTGTCACTAGTCACTTGTCCCACCAGCCCGAATCGAGTCACCACGTTCTTGAAGAACCAAGCTGCCACCACGGCTGCTGACTGAGCCGGGAGGGCGTCTGCTTCAGCCCACCCTGTTAAGTCATCCCTCGCGACCACTACCACAGACATCCCTGTTCGGGAGCAGGGAGGCATGTGGAAACAGTCGATGGTGATCTTACTGAACACCATTGGCACCGTTACAGGGCGCCGGGCCTCGCTGTACAGCCTCCAGTCTCGGGCCTGGCATTGAGGGCAAGACCGAACCCAGTGCTCGATGTCCTTCATCATCCCATCCCAGTAGAACCGGTCTGCCACCAGGGCGAAGAGGGCATTCTTACCTCTGTGCCCCCTGGACTCATGGAGATTCCGCAAGACCCGGTCCTTGTCATCTTGCCGTCCTAGCACCATGCGGGGGAGGCGCCCCTTATGCTGGCGGTGTACCCTCCCTCCCCGAAGGAAGCATTGGCTTGCCAACTGGCGGATCGCTTCTCTCTTCAAAGGTTCCAACCCTGCCTCCCTCGCTGCTTGCTTTTCTGGGTCTTCTCGTTTATCTAGGAAGAACCCGACCTGTCTCCACTTGTCAGTCAGATCGTATAGACTCTCGTCAAAACTGGGCTCAGGAGCTAAGCTACGGCGTAACCCGTCTGTCACTCGTCTCCTGCGCACCATCCTTAGAGTCCGGACTTCCACGCTCATGTGTCCTAGTTCTTCTTGCTGGTCCAGCCAGGCCTCTGGGTCCACGTCCTCCTCGCTGTCTTCCTCTGCCCGTGGCCTCCTTGAAAGCCCATCCGGCACTCTGTGGTGGACCCCCGGAACATGGCGGAGTACGAAGTCGTTCATTTTGATGTACCAACACCACCTGCTCTCCACGGAGTTCGGTAGCCCCGGCGAGTCGATCATCTGTTTGACAGACGAACAGTCCACCTCCAGGATGAACTTAGTGCCATGGATGTAGTATCGTAGAGCCCTCAGTCCTACGAAGACTCCGTAGAGCTCCAACTTGGGCTGGCTATACCGCTGCTGGACCTCGTTGAAGTAGAAACTCATGAATCGTGCGTAGTACCTCTTGCCATCCCTACCCATTTGAGCCATGGCAACCCCGCAGCCCCTCTGGCTAGAATCAATTGCCACTATGATGGGGTACTCTTCCAATCGAGAGTAGTCGATAGGCTTGATACACCCCGAGTCAGCCACAGCCCGTTTGATAGTTTCCATTGCTTCATCGTGCACCTCGGACCACCAGAAGTCGCGGGGCACCAGAACGGTCAGCTCCACTAGGGGGCGTGCCATGGCCCCGTAGCGGCGTATCCAATTCCTGGCTATCCCGACCGTTCCCAGGAACCCCCTCACCTCCGTCGGGCTCTTACAAGCCGGCCACTTCAATACTTTCGCGATCGCCTCATGGGTCAACCTCCTCCCTTCTGCCGAAATGAGATAGCCCACTACAGCTATTTCTCGGACCCCGATCTGCAGCTTCCCTCCAGAGAAGGTCCCCCCGTACTTTTTCATCTTATGAAGAACCACGTTGAGATATTTGGCGTGTTCAAAGACAAACTTCCGGACCCCCGGGGCGACGTACCCCTCCTGCTCTTCCCGGTCCTCGTCTTTCACTCGCGGTCCGCTAACTACCACGTCATCGACGTAGAGTTTTAGAAGGCGGTGAAGTTCTTCAGCGAAGATGAAAGCCATAATTCGCTGAAATACGGCCACCGCGTTCGTCCATCCCTGGGGAAGGCGCCTCAATCTCATGGTACCCATGGGAGATTCAAAGGTGGTGAGGTCCCGGGACCGAGCATCAAGGGCAGCCTGATCGTAGCCCGAGAAGGCATCTAGGCCCGTGTAGATGTAGCAGCCTGCCAGTTCTTCTGTCATCTCATCCATATTGGGAGGCACTCCAGCATCGCGCACAGTGATAGAGTTCAGCTTCTGCAAGTCATGCACCAGACGAATCCGCCCATCTTTCTTTTCGACGGCAAAGAACCCCGACCGGTAGGAGGACTGAGACCGTTCGTAGAGACCAGCCTCGATCTTTTCCCGGAGGAAGGCTATGACCTTCTCGCGGGTGCGCAGAGGGAGCCTGATGTTCTTATCCTGCCAAGGCTTGTGGTCCACCACCGGGATCCTTACAGGCGGGATGTAGCGCTCGTCGAAACCACCCTTTTCGTCCTCTGTCCAAGCCAGTGCCTCTTCATTCTTCAGGAGGACCGAGGCAAACATCGATTTCTCCTCCCGACTCAAAAATCCGTCATGCTAAAGACCACCTTCTCTAGGCGCTCGGGGCTGAGCCTCTTCCCCCGAGGGAGATGTGTCCAGTCGGGGCCTTCAGGCTCTACCCTCGGCAGTTCGTCCCACAGGTCCGGGGGCACTTTCATCAATGGCTTATCTTCCTCCTTCATCGTAGTTTCCACAGGCCGCTTCTTTTTGGCCACGGGTTTATAGGCCCCGTAGGCAGTCACAAACTCCCTCTCGCAAGCCCCCACCCGGGGGTGTACCTCTCTCAGGGGCTGAGCTAGACGAGCCGAGTAGTATCGCCCCGTCGGTCCCAGGAGGAGGACGGAGCGGGAGGATCTGTCTTCAACGACGAGCTCATAACAGTCCTCCACCTCCTCCTCCTTGTCCACGAAGTCTACCGCCCGCTCTAGGGCAGCAGTCAGAGGATCCATGCCCCCAACTATGTTCTCCGCCGACCTCTGGCTCTCCTCCCACAGCGCCTCGGACTCGTCTCCTTCCCCCGGGGAGTCAGGGCGGGGCTCCTCTCCGGCATCCGTCCCCAATTCTAGGTCGGTCTCTTCTTGCTGCCCCGAATCCGCCGCTTCGGAGTCTCCCGGCTCAAGCCTCACCCTTTTCGGGGTAGGGGTCACCTCCCGAGACTCCCGGGAAGGCGGGGTACGACACTTGGGAGTCCAGGTGTACTCCAAACGTATGGCCTCCGGGGAACTAACATCGGCTCCGTGAACAGCCACCTCCGGGTCAGCCTCCTCCACCCAGGTCAAACGCTCCTCCTCGGGGTCCCAGTCAACTCGGGATCCCGAGGGCGGCGCTCCAATCTGGACCGGAGCCCAGTCTTCCCCTACTTGCACAAAGGTATGCTGCGCCTCTACCCGGTGCGACGTCACAGGAGACCTCTTGAGGAGGCGCAGCGCCCGAAGACGGGTTCCCAATGGCTTCCGACGGTCCTTCCAAGCCCTCTTCTCAGCCACGGTGATCACCGGTCCATCATCGGGATGCAGGGGGATTTCCAACACTCCCGAGGGGGCATTAACCCGCATGACTCTCCTGTACCCACACCAGACAAAGTCAACCAGATTCTGGGCGATGTAGGGCATCCCCAGAAAGATTTTGTCTTTGGGGGCATGTCGGTTGACCCAGAAGATGTGCCGCGTCACCAAGGCCCCTATCTTCACGTCCGCCTGGAAGTATCCCGCCAACGGAACCGCCTCGCCATGGACCCCGGATACAGAGTAACGTAGATCCGTCCGGATAGGCGACTTGACTTCCTGAGTCATTTTGTCATAGAAGACGTCCGAGACCATGTTGATCTGCGATCCGTCGTCCACGATTGCCAGACAGTCCACCCCATTCAGGCTCACGGGAACCATCACGGTTTTGACCGACAAAGGAGAGGTGCACCATTCCTGGTCCGCGCAGCCCCACCCGGCCACCTCGCTCTTAGGAGGCTCGGGACCACTGCTGTAGTACACTCCCTGCTGGAACCATTCCTCGGGGCAGACCTCCCTATCACCCCTCCATCCGGGCCCATCGCCTAGCACAAGTTTCTCCAAGTTTACTCGGTACGACTCAACCTCCCCATCCAGGGGGTCCCCTTCGTCCGAACTGTGGTCCTCGGGGCCGGGCTCGACGACCAGGACCTCCGAGGCTTCCACAACCTTGCGGCGCCGAGTCACTGCGTTGAGGTAGCCCGCGAGGGGAGGAGCTATCGCCAGGAGCTCTCTCAGGCTGAGGCTCCCAAGGTTCCTCATCTTCTCTTCCAAAATCTTGGCACACACCGTCTCGCAAGGAACCTGGCTCGCCAGGATGCTGGGCTTCGGCCGCATCTGAGCCGGTATCAGTCCATTCTCGTCCCCCTTAGGGGCCGCCGGAGGGGATGGACTAGCGGGCTTGGGCAAGCCCGAAGGGGCCTTGGATCCTCCTCCCCGGGGTATCTCTACGATAGGCGTTCCAGCTCCCTGCCGCGGTTTCTCAGGGGGCCCTCCACGGATGGGCCTCCCCTCTCTCCTCGGGGTGGCTCCTGTAGGCTGATAGTATCCCTTGGAAGGCGCTCCCCCTGAGGAGGAGGGGTAGGGGGCCGCCTTTCGCCTCGCTGCTTGGTCCCCCACACTCCTTTCGGCCGCGTAGCTTTCCGCCTGGAGAACATGGTCTCTCAAGGCGGAGCTTACAGAGAAGGAAGTGGTAGCCTCTCGTCGGAGGGTCTCCTCTTCTGCTCTTCCTACCGCATCGCAAAGCTGGCCATGAAGCAGCCCAGTAGTCCCCATGATCCTAGCCCCTCGGGCCTCGGATAGGCTCCGAGGTCCGTATTCTTCTCCCAAGGCCGATACCGCAAACACCCCGCAGTCCACCAGAGCTGGGGCTGCCTCAGCCCATTGACAGGCCTGCGGGTCGGACCCCGAACTAGGGAGCCCCAGCCCTCTATCTTCGGCATCCCAGAGCCGCTCCATCTGAGAGCGGAGAACCTCATTATCACTGCGTCGGAGCCGCTCTTTTCTAAGAGATCCAGACCCTCTAACTCCGGCTGTCACCCCTCGTGTCCCCTCCCAACGCCCAAGGCCTAGGGCCTGAACACCGACACTAGCCACTGCCGGAGTCGAGCCGCCCAGCTCTAGATAGCACACCTCTACCCCTTCCTCGTCACCACTCAACTCCCGGTCCTCAGCGTACCAATGCGCCTCCAGGTCCTCATGCAGTCGCTGGTTGTCCTCTACTTCAATCAAGTTTGCCGTAGTGTTTCCGGGGCCCGTCGGCGAGCTAGAGGTCCGGCCCACCAGGCCCAGGATCTCCTCATAAAGCTCCTTGGGGCACTTCCCAGCCTCCTCACGGACCCTTTGGTCGTGGAGCGGGTGGTCCGGGAGTGCCCATCTGTCCCCCAACATCCGCTGGCCACTCTGAGCCACGTAGGGATGAAGGCGCACTATGCCGCGAGCGATGTAGTCGGCCCGGACAGGACAGTTGGCCTTCAGGTGCCCTGTCCCCCTGCAGAAGAAGCAGGCACCCCGGGGTGAGGACGTACTCCTACCCGGTGGGGGCCCTACCCGGGCCGTGGACTCAGCACTATACGCAACCGCCCTCCGAGGAGCCAAGTCGCCGGCCGGTTGGTCTGGGAACATGTACCCCGGGGCGGGCAGGTAGTCTGACACCTTCCGCCCTTGAGGGGCATAGTACGAGACTATGGCATACTTCTGAGCATAGTCGGTCGACTTGATACCGTGGTTTTCAGCCACCTCTAACGCCTCGGAACAGGCTTGGGCAAACACGCGGCCATCTCCCAGAGGGTCTTTCAGGTTGGGCTCCCAACAGGCTGCGGCTGCTGCCCCTCCCGGTAGGGCTCGGAGCGCCTGATGGGCGGCCTGATACCTCACTGAGATCTCCTTCCTACTCTTCAGTCCCCCCGCGCGGTGCTGGATGCTCAGATCGTGCATCTGCTTCACCAGCCTCTCCACCTGGTCCGCTTCACTCTCCGGTTTCTCTTCTCTAGGACGGACACCACGCTCCCACCTCCGCCCCCAGTCCTCCTCCCGCTCCATTGAACGCTCCTTCTTCTCCGAGGCATCCCCAGCCAGCTGAGCCATGGTAGGGAGCTCTGGGCGTAAGCGCAGGAGCATGGCATTCGCCATCTTGTTCTGCGGGTCGTACCAGTCGACATGGCCCTGCAGCAGCCACTTCCAAGGTGGCAGGCTCTCCCCGTCCCACCCCTTTTCAGCGATCCACCTCGGCTTATACCACTGAATGATCGCGTCGGCTACCCTCTGGTGGCATAGTTTGTAGTACGTCTCGTTGGCCCGGATAGAATCCGAGCTCTCACGAGTATACTGCCTCACCAGGCGGCCGAACGCCACTCCCGCGGTGAACACGTCTTCCCTCCTAGTCCAGCTTCCCGCCAGCAGCCTCTTACTCCGATCCTCGAACTCCTGGGTCGTGAGGTTCCGAAGCCGGGTCCTATCCGGGAAGTTCACCCTAAGACACCGGAGGAAGTCCTCCCAGGAGTTAATGTCGTCTAGAACCTCCGGGATCTCCTCTAAGAGGCTCCTCGCCGAAGGGGTAGCATACTTGGCAAACGCTTTCATCCTATTCCGCCCTTGCAAGCTAGCGGGAGCTCGGGCTTCAAACCACTCTATCATATCTTCTAGAGTCGTCCCTTCCCCGTCCCAACGTCGAGCTCGCTTGTCCTTCGGATCAGGGAGGCTTTCGGCCCCCTTGGTCCCACGAGGATCCAGCTCACCCGAGACGGGGACGACCGGGACTGGAAGACGAGGGGGGTATCGCCCAGACAGAGCGGCCCCCGAGTCAGTCCCAAGATGGGTATACCCATCATGGGGAGGTTCATCCCTCTTAAACCCGGCCTCCCCCAGGCGGGCGGCCCGGTAGGCTGCCATCCCGACAGGAGGCGGCGGGTTGTCAGACAAGGGGTCAGACACCTCCGTGTCCGACCTACCATGTCCCGACTGGGAACGAGTCTCCATACCCGGCTCTCGAGTAGGCTCTCGGTAGCTCCAGGTGGGAGGGACGTTCCCAGGATTGGAGGCAACTCCGGTCGTAGAGATCCCTCCCCCGTCAACGGGGTTGGGAGTCTCTTCAGTCCTTTCGGAATTGTCACCCATAATACTCACAATACTGTATCGAATCCGATAAGTGCCGTAGTCAGAAGAAGCAAGCTTCCTGGGAGAACCCGATGCTCCCAGGCCTTACCTTTATATACCCCCACAGTTCCCGCCCGTGGGAACTGCTAACCCTGTTTGTTTCTTACCGCATCGGGCAGGAGAGGAACCACCCACTGGTCCCTCCCGAATTCCCACCTCCCCGACGCAGCAAACACTCACTATGAGAATCCCTCAGAGGCAAGCTTCCCGGCGCTCGCCGCCGCCCGTTCTATCCAACAGCTCCTCCCAGCAGGGCTGTCGAATACCCACCTTGGCGCATGTAGAGTGTCCCCCAGCCTGTCAGTTCTCTCTTTCGGACACGCCTCTCCAACGAGGATCAACCTCTGGGAGACGTGCCCGTGTGGGGCAGCCACTTTTGTTGCGGTTCTTCCTCACCTGAAAAGACCCATCCTTACCTTTG